AGGGGTCCCTAGGGTCAAGGTCACTTGTGTAATAAACAAATTTAAATATTTTTGCTTATACAGCCTTCATTTTTAAGTTGATGTCATTCATGTTTAATACCAATTGCTAAGGAAGGTCCTCTTCCTTTGGATTTAGTTATGGGTCATTTGGGTCAAGGTCACCAATGTCAAAATAGATTTTTATACTTTTACAGGTGTATTTACCTTATATTATTGACAGATGTCTTATGTTTGGTAGGAATATAAAAAAGAAAATTCTCCGGATGGATTTAGGGGTCAGTTGGGTCAAGGTCACTGGTGCTAAAAAATAGATTTTTACACTTTTGCTTATACAGCCTTTATTTATTGACAAATGTTTTTCATATTTGGTAGAAAGATAACTTGCATGGTATTCTTCATTTCAGTTGAGTAAGGTGTCAGTGGGTCAAGGTCAAGGGTGTCAGTAATAGATATGTACACATATTGATAGATTTATTACATATTTGGTAGGATGGTATTCTTGCTTTGGATGAAGTTAGGGGTCAGTTGGGTCAAGGTCACAAGTGCTAAAATAGATTTTAACACTTGTTAGTACAGCCTAAATTTATTTACAGAATTATTTCATATTTGGTAGGAAGATAACTTACATGTTATTCTTCTTTTTGATCAAGGGGTCAATGGGTGAAGGTCAAGGATGCCAAAAATAGATTTCTACTCATTTGCTTATACAGCCATTATTTTTTGATTGATGTTTTTCTATATTTGGTATGATGATAACATGCATGGTCTTCTTCCTTTGGATTGAGGTAGGGGTCAGTTGGGTCAAGGTCACCAGCGGGCGGCGTCCAATTTTGTCCGGAGCATATCTCCTACATGTATGGAGGGATTTTAAAGAAACTTCATAGAAATGTTCACCACTATGAGGAGCAGGGTCGTGCACATGAACCAGGTCTCTAGGTCAAAGGTCAAGGTCACACTTAGAGCTCATTGAAAAATGCTTGTCCGGAGCAAAACTTCCACATGTATAGAGGGATTTCAATATTACTTGGTACAAATGTTCACCATTGTGAGGCGGAGTGTCGCGCGCAAGATTCAGGTCCTTGCGGCCAAGGTCAAGGTCACACATAGAGGTCAAAGTTCAGATAAAAATATGAAGATGTGTATATGGACCATTTAGTCATCATTTATTGAGGGATTGTAACACAAATGGTCATTATCAAGACTATGGCTGTGATACATATAATTTAGGTCAATATATACAAGGTCAAGGTCACTAAAGATGATGAAATATCCAGATTTTGTCCGGAGCATATCTCCTACACGCATGGAGGGATTTTAATGAAATTTCATAGAAATGTTCACCATTATGAGAAGCCATGTCACGCACATGAACTAGGTCTCTAGGTCAAAGGTCAAGGTCACACTTAGAGCTCATTGAAAAACGCTTGTCCGGAGCAAAACTTCCACATGCATAGAGGGATTTCAATATAACTTGGCACAAATGTTTACCATTGTGTGGTGGAGTGTCGTGCACAAAATTCAGGTCCCTGCAGCCAAGGTCAAGGTCACACACAGAGGTCAAAGTTTAGATAAAAATATGAAGATGTGTATAGGGACGATTTAATCATCATTTATTGAGGGATTGTAACACAAATGGTCATTATCATGACTACGGCTGTGACACATGTACTTTAGGTCAATATATGCAAGGTCAAGGTCACTAAAGATGATGAAATATCCAGATTTTGTCTGGAGCATATCTCCCACATGTATGGAAGAATTTTTATAATACTTTATGGAAATGTTCACCACCATGATATGTATTGCTCCATGCATGATCCACGTCAAAGGTCAAGGTCACACTTAGAGCTCATTGAAAAACGCTTGTCCGGAGCAAAACTTCTACATTCATAGGGGGATTTCAATATAACTTGGCACAAATGTTCACCATTGTGAGGCAGAGTGTCGCACGCAAAATTCAGATCCCTGCGACCAAAGTCAAGGTTACACATAGAGGTCAAAGTTCAGATAAAAATTTGAAGATGTGTATAGGGACCATTTAGTCATCATTTATTGATGGATTGTAGCACAAATGGTAACTATCATGACACATAAAATTCAGGTCCCTGCGACCAAGGTCAAGGTCACACATCCTGTGCATATCTTCCCTACTGATTTGTTTTAAGGTTCATTTAACAACACAGTGCCAAGAATAAAAACTTGCTTGCTAGATAACACTTATCCATAATGCCCCCATCTCCATCTAAAGCTTTCGTAAACAGGCGTATTTTGTGACTATGGCACCCTTGTTCACAATTACAAAACACCATGACCCTGTCAAGTTCTATAGCTGTGTTTACATTTTTTTTGGCAATTTTCTGAGTGAATGGGTCAACATTTTTTGAAATATTTTTACTGACAAGAATCTGAGCCGGGGGCATTTGTGTTTAACAAACACGTTCTTGTTTTGCATAATTATGCCCCTTTTTGGGCTTAGAAGTTCTAGGTAAAATTTTTGCGTGTTAGCTGGTATCTCCATAACTACTGAAGGAACAATTTTATGCATTCATAATAATAAAGCAGTGATTAACTGGATAAAACATCTTAATAACAAGCCTTTGTACCTTTTCGGACAATTTTATGTATTCATATAGGTAAGCATTATCATACTCAATGAAACACCCTTGTGTCAACTTTTAGAATAGTCAAGCTTTACTGTCCTCCAACAGTTCTTATTTAATCAATTGTCATGAAACTTTGTCAGGATTCTTGATGGATTAGTTTGATCATTCTAGGGCCCTCTTGTTATCCCCCGCCGAAAAGGCGGCGGGGGATATAGTAATAGTCTCCTTCCGTCCGTCCTTCCGTCCGACATTTTTGTCCCGAGCATATCTCTAAATGTATTTGAGTTATCAACTTGAAACTTCATAGGTGCATAGATCTCACTCAGGAGGTGTGCAGTGCACAAGAATGATAACTCTACCTTTCATAATTTTTGAGTTATTGCCCTTTGTTATTTTTCATACCTAATTTTTCACCCGAGTGGAGCATAACTCAAAAGTGTTTGAGATGTCAACATGAAATGTCATAGGTGGATAGATATTATTGAGGAGAAATGCTGTGCACAAGAATGATAACTCTTCCCTATACAATTTTTGAGTTATTCCTCTTTGTTCTTTTTCATAATATTTTGTCCGGAGCTTATCTCAAAAAGTATTTGAGGTATCAACTTGAAACTTCATTGCTGGATGGATCTTATTGAGGAGGAGTGCAGTGCACAAGAACGATAACTCTACCCTTCATAATTGTTCAGTTATTGCCCTTTGTTTTTTTTCAAAATTAATTTTTGTCCAGAGCATAACTCAAAAGGCCTTTGAGATATCATTATGAAACTTCATAGGTCTAACTCAGGAGGTTTGCAGTGCAAAGAATGATAACTCTACCTTTTATAATTTTTGAGTTATTGCCCTTTGTTAATTTTCAGACTTAATTTTTCAATTCATTTTTTTTTCTTAAAAGTATTTGAGGTAACAACTTGAAACTTCATAGGTGGATAGATTTTACTGAGGAGGGATGCAGCATACAAGAATGATAACCTACCCTGCATTATTTTTCAGTAATTGCCCTTTGTTATTTTCAGCCATCAGTATTCACATAGGTTTCAAATCTGTAATCACTATAGCCATCAGTTTTCATTACCAAAAGACCTTAAAATGGAGTTATTCTGCTCTACTACATATACATTCTTCCAATGAGCAAACACATTCGGCGGGGGATGGCCATGTTGACATGGCTCTTGTTTACATAGCAACTAGTGGCATCCATAGCAAATATTTTCTTTTCTTATCAACATGTGAATCTATTATTGAATTTCATAGCATTCAGTGACTTCCAAGAAACCACTGATTTTGTATAGCAACCAGTGACTTCTTTAGTAACTATTGTTACAGCAAAAGCCACCAGAAATGCTTTTACATTTGCTATTTTAGATACAAATATGAACTTTATGATAACAGTTTAAGATTTAGATTTTATATCTGCATACACTTTTAGTTTACAATATTACTTGTACCTTTTCATTAAGATATTTATATTGAGGTGAGTGATATTAGGGCAATCATGCCCTCTCGTTTATCAAACTCTTTATGTTTAGTTGTTTATCAAACTTTTTACTTCTAGAAATATTTTTGTTAAAGATCCTGTATGTATATTGAGGTTGTATACCACACTTAAGGTAAATTATATATATGTATATAATTATGCTTATAAAACAATTTTCAAACATCGAAGTATATGTAAAATATGTACTGTAAATATTTGTACATATATATGTAATCATTAAAATATATGCATTTATTTTTTATTGAAAAATTTGACTTAGATTTTATAGAAAATAAATTTTTTATCACATCCCTTTATTTACATGAAATGTTAAATTTGGTAATATCTTTATAAATAATGCTTTTTGGAACTTACAAAATTGATAAATCTTAATTTGAGCATCATATTTATGATATAAAACCATAAAAAATTTGTGTTACATGATCTTTAAGATTATTATTATTGTTTAGATCATAGGTTTATATGATTCAATTATCCCCCACCTTTTCGAAGAAAAAAGGGGGATATAGAAATGGGCTCTGTCCATCTGTCTGCCTATAACAAAACTTGTCCATACTACTCGGAAACTACTGGTGCAACTTTATATAAACTTAACAGCAATGATCAGTACCAAATCTAGTTGTGCATATCATAGGCATTAACCGGTTCAATGATTTTTGTCAGAGTTTACAGCCCATTAATGAGTTTTAAAATAATTTTTTTAAAGTTTTGTCCAAACTACTTTCCATAACTACTGATGCAATTCTAGTAAAACTTTACAGGATTGATTGGTAGGTCAAGTCCTTTCGCATATTACACAGGTCTTTTCTACATGAATGATTTTTTTTGGCTGAGTTATGGCAGTTGTATTAAAAAGAAGTTTTAGCCTGTTAATCATTTACGATATGGTATGTTTTCAGGCAAAAACAGAAGCCTAGGTATGTGAGTATCTCTCATGCAAGGAAAGGACTCAAAGACTGTGGAGATGTCACTCCTATCAGCCGCATACATAGGTACCTTGAATGTAAAGGTGTGATTAACTTTGCATCAGGTTTGTTTTCCATTCTTGCATTAATTTGATACATTGTATTTAAACAGCAAGACTTTAGGACAATGAACATTTGCCAATATAAGTCTTGCTACAATATGGCTTTACTAGACTTTGTTACCTAATGGAAATCTTATTATTCTCTCTTAACTTCTTTTTATTTGTCTTGAACCCTAATCAGGAATTATATTTTATATGCAATTTTTTTTCACGATTTTTTTAACATAAAGAAATAGAGGTATTGTTACAGTTATGGCAGTGTTCCCGTTGCCATCACCGCGTATAAATGATCTTGACCTGGAAGATCAAATTATTAAAAAAATTTCTTTTCTGTTTTTTTGCTGTAATTGATTAACTTAGGTAATTGGCATTAACTTTGTTGTTAATGAAATGATTAACTTCATATTAATACAAAACATTCTTTAGGATAAGACCTATATGTATGTCAAACTCAAATTGACCTTGACTCATTGATGAGCTTTAAATGACCATGTCTGTCAAGGTCACATTATTGTTATTTATGTACGGATTTGATTTATACTTGGACAAAACATGACTTTCTACCAAACAAACATATTGAATAATTCAGACGTGACCTTTTCCTTTAATTGACCTTGATCATCAAGATCAAAATTAATGAAATTCTCTTATTCTATCCTTTAGCTATGAAATTTGATCCATGTGCACAGTTTAAGATGTAAAATTGAACTTTGATATCAGTTAACCTAGATTTTTACCTACTGACCTTTCTTGTTTTAAGCTCACCTGAGCTCAACGTGATCATGTTGAGCTATTGTGATCCCCAATTGTATAACATCCTGCATCGTCAACAATTACTGTAAACAACATCTGAAAACCAATGACTGCAAAGTAACCAAACTTTACAGGAAAGATCTTTGGGAGGTCCCCTTGCAAACTTGTTATCCCCTGCCTAAAGGCAGCGGGGGATGTAGAAATAGTCTCCGTCCTTCTGTGATGCCTTTTTTCCGGAGCATATCTCAAAAAGTAATTGAGGTATCATCTTAAAACTCAATAGGTGGATAGATCATATTTAGGAGGAGTGCAGTGCACAAGAATGATAACTCTACCCTTCATAATTTTTCAGTTATTGCCGTTTGTTATTGTGCCCCCATTATAGGGGGGCATTTAGATTTACCCTTGTCCATCCATCCTGTCCATCTGTCTGTCCATTCCCTATTTGTGTCGCACGTAGCTCAAAAAGTAATTGACCTAGAGTCATGAAACCATACAGGAATGTTGATCAGCATGTGAAATTGTGCACCTTGGTATTTTCATGTGGATATATATAGTAGAGTTATTGCCCTTGACTTAGTAAAAACTGTTTTCATTATGTTGTCTTATTTGTTCCTTTAGTGCTTTAATAGAATCAATCAACTTTGCAGGAATAATGAACAACATCACTTTGAAGCTATGCACTTGGGATTTTGCATGTGGATTTTTTTTTCAGTTTTATTAGAGTTATTGCCCTTGACTTAGTATAAATTTACAGTTTTCAACTTGTTCATGCATAGCTCAAAAAGTATTTGACCTGTTGGCCTGAAAGTTTACAAGAATGTTGGTCAGCATGTGTACTTATGCACCTTGGTGTTCCCTTGTGAATTTATTCAGTATTTGTAAAGTTCTTGCCCTTTACTTAGTAAAAGATTTTTAGTTTTCAACTTGTGGCACATGAAGCCCAAAATATATTTGACCTAGAGTCATAAGATTGACAAAACAGTGGAGTGTGGTGGCACCCATGTCCTATGGACAAATTTCTACTTAAAAGTATAATTTCGGTCCCGATTATACAATTATAAAAGAATTTCACACCTTTTATTTGAAGCCTGACTAATTGACACTGATCCACTCGGTGACCATTCCACTTGCGACAAATCCCAACAGTCATGTGTGTATTTAGACAATCATGATAATTAGGCTTTGCATGCTCTTTAATTACCGAAAATTAAAAATTCTGCACCGGGTCAGATGTTGTTACTGTTATTGTGAAGATGACAGCGAGTACTTTATATGTGCTATATATGTAGAATAAAATGCAAGTATTTATGTCTTCAATACCAATTAAATTTTATTTTTAAACATCTTTTCTTGAATATTTTTTCTCTCGATTGATTGCCTTTGCCTTACACATTTGCCTTACAAATGTGTTGTAAATGGTAGTTTTGCTATGATTGGCCAAAGTGGAGTAGTTTTCGTCTATCATAATATTTCGGATTATTCAAACCCATGGATTGTTCAAAGTAAATTTTCAGTCCCCGGCAATTCGAATAACCAGGGTTTGACTGTAATTGTACACAAATAAAATGTCATAAAATATAGGTCCTGACTTCAAACAACTTAATTTTCAAATAGTTAAGGTGGTAGTATGAATGACCTTCATTGATAGTCTGTTTACATAAATAACAGTTACTACTAAAAAAGTAGGGTTGAATGACATTCATGGTAGTACCACTGAAAGTGCCTGTTGTTGCCTTAATTGTTAGGTGAAAGAATTATAAGGACTATCATGACTATTATTTTTCAAACCATACAACTTCTGACACAGTTTCGAAACATCCAAGAGTTGAGGCATTTGTTTAACTCTTATAAAAAAAACCTTTTGTAGGTATTTTGCATGCTATAGAAAGTTTATTTTGCTGAGATATTTTAAGGTGATAATTATTTACAGTGAAAACTCGTCCATGGCTGAGGAAGGATTCAAAATCAGCACACATGACTCAATCTAATGTGAAGAGACTAAAAGTAATTTCAGCAAATGATTATACAAAGAGAAGTGAGCGCTTGATTGGAGATATGGAATCAGAAATTGACTTTGATCTAGAGGAAGAGGTGAAATTATTGAAGAGTAAGTATCTTTAGTTGTTTATGTTAAGTTTAGGGTCTAGAAGCTCACATGTTTGACTGTAATTGTAATAATTATAGGTACACAGATAAAATATCATTAAATATAGGTCCATGTTCAAATTTAGTAAAAGAGGTTTTTTTGGCCTTTAAGGTTATGAAGCTATATCAGGATGTCTGTTATGACCTGAATTAATGTTTTTATTGTAATAAAGATCATATCAAGGTGACTTAATTGAAGAAAAAAAAGTGTTGATAATACAAATATCTGTGATATTAAATCAAACAGGTATTATCCAACATTATTAAACATGGTAATATTTATTTACAGAACATTTTATTGCATGAATTTGATATATTCATGTTTGTTGAATAACAGTCTAGATCATTGTTAAAACTTTTTTTAGAACGATCATAAGAATATGGAAAGAACATGATAGTAACAGTTTTTATACCCCCACAAACCAATTTTAGTGGGGGGTATATAGGAGTCAGCTTGTCAGTCTGTTGGTCAGTCCGTCGGTCTGTCCACTTCATGGTTTCCAGACGATAACTAGAATTTTGTGGAGACCCCGGGTGGTATTGCATTTGGATCTACTAGGGTCAAAGTTACCATTACTAAAAATAGTAAATGGTTTCCGCACAATAACTAGAGTTAGGAGGAATGAGGTATTGTTATCGAACTTGGTATATAGCAACATTATGTGGAGACCCAGGTTGGTATTGCATTTGGACCACCTGGGGTCAAGGTAAAGGTCACAGTTACTAAAAATAAAAAAATGGTTTCCGGACAATAACTAGAGTTATTATAATATTATTATAATCAAACTTGGTGTATAGCAAGCTTATATGAAGACCCTAGTTGGTATTGCATTTTGACCCCCTGGGGTCAAGGTCACTGTTACTAAAAATAGAAAAATTGTATCAACTATAACTAGAGTTAAAAATGAGATATTGCACTCAAATTTGGTGTATAGCAAGCTTATATGAAGACCCTTGTTGGTATTGCATTTGTACCCCCTGTTTCAGGACATTACAAAATTAGGAATGAGATATTGTAATCAAACTTTGGGTATAGCCAGCTTATATGAAGATCCTGGTTGGGATTGCAATTAATTGAAATAATTCTTTGTACACAGTAGATACTTCAATTACTATAGGTCGAGTTCAAATTTTTTTGAGACCACTTAATTTTCAAAAAGTCAAAGTTGCTGGTTGGGGTAATTATCACCTTCAGTGATAGGTCTAGTTGATATTTATTTAGTACTTTTTGCCAGCTATTGCTTTACACCCAATATTATAAAAGGAAAAAGTTCAGCAGATAAACCCTGATGATTTGTTGTTTGGATTAATTGAGCCAAAATTTTAGATATTTTCTTGGGATTATTTTTAACTGTATAGCTTTTAATATGATTATTATGTAGATAAGACATTGGGGCAAAAGTCAAAGTAACAATTAGGTTATGACTTGCCATAGCATAATCTTTGCAATAAATTGATTAGGTTTTGAAAACCTGTGCTAGGTAAATTTTAGGCATAAGTGTTAAAACACACACAAAACATGGATTTAAACTTTAAACAAGGTTTGTACAGTGTACAGTCTTAAAAAGCGCTTAAATTTGTGTTTGCTTAGAATTGATAAAAGAATGCTTAAAAGTCCTTGAATTTGATTCCCCTCTTGAAAATTGCTTTAAAAGTGCTAAAGTTTGCTGCTAATGTGCTTGAAAATGATTGACTGACATAGACTAGTGTTGATAAAAATCAACAGTTATGTCTGCACATTTTGCTCCACTGCACAAAATGGCCAATGTCTGCACATTCTGCTCCACTGTACAAAATGGCTAATGTCTGCACATTCTGCTCCACTGCACAAAATGGCCACCAGAGCTATAATTAGAAAAATCTTGTCTGGCTTTCACAGGTCAAACTCTCGGCTGGATGTCGGTGAAACTTCAAAGAAGTGATCGGTACCAACCCTAGTTGTACATATTGTCAGAATGTTCCTTCCGCTGCATAAAATAGCTGCCAGAGCAAAAATAAAAAAATCTTGTCCATCTTTCAAAGGTCAAACTGCTGGCAGGATTATGTTTTAAATTCACAGGAGTGATCAGTATCATACCTTGTTTTGGGAGACATATGTTTTTGTGACAATAACCCCTTCAAGTTTCTGAATGGATTGTCTTCAAACTTGAACGAAACAATCTTTTAGGATTGACCTTAAAGTTAACCGACAGACCTTGACTTGCACTCATAAATGACATTGACCTTAAGGGTCAAATATTTTATAAGCGTATTGTCCCTCTGTCTGTCCATCTGTGCATCCCCACTTACACAATATGTTTGTCCAGACTGTAATTTTGTCATGCATTGAGAGATTTTGAAATAGCTTGGCACAAATGTCTACCACATCAAAATGATTTTTTGTGTTTTAGAACCATGTCCCTACCTCAGAGGTCAAGGTCCCACTTACATTTTGAAGGTTAACATCACAATTAGAGTTTATAGGTACACACATTTGTGTCTGGTCTGTAACTATGTCATATATATCAAACTTAAATTGACCTTGACTCGAATCAAGGAAAAACTTAATTATACCCCGGAAACGAAGTTTGGGGGGTATATAGGAGTCACTCTGTGGTCGGTTGGTCGGTCGGTCCAGCCGTCTGTTGCATTTTCCTTGTCCGGAGCATAACTTGAAGACTAATGGTTGGAATTCAATACAACTTCATACAATGGTCAAGCACATTGAGAGGAAGTGCAGTGCACAAGAACCATAACTCCATCTTGACTAATTACAGAGTTATTGCCCTTTGTTACTTTTCCTTGTCCGGAGCATAACTTGAAAACTACTGGTTGGAATTCAAAATTATTTCATACAATGGTCAAGCATAATAAGGGGAAGTGCAGTGCACAAGAACCATAACTCTATCTAAAGTTATTACAGAATTATAGCCCTTTGTTACTTTTCCATTGCTTTCTTTTGTCCGGACCATAACTTGAAGACTAATGGTTGGAATTCAATATAACTTCATACAATGGTCAAGCACATTGAGAGGAAGTGCAGTGCACAAGAACCATAACTCCATCTTGACTAATTACAGAGTTATTGCCCTTTGTTACTTTTCCTTGTCCGGAGCATAACTTGAAAACTACTGGTTGGAATTCAAAACAACTTCATACAATGGTCAAGCACAATAAGGGGAAGTGCAGTGCACAAGAACCATAACTCTATCTAAAGTAATTACAGAGTTATTGCCCTTTGTTACTTTTCCATTGCTTTTTTTTTGTCCGGAGCATAACTTAAAGTCTAATGGTTGGATTGCAATACAACTTCATACAATGATCAAGGACATTGAGAGGAAGTGCAGTGCACAAAAACCATAACTCCATCTTGCCTTATTACAGAGTTATTGCCTTTTGTTTTTTTTTCGTTGTCCGGAGCATAACTTGAAAACTACTAGTTGGAATTCAATACAACTTCATACAATCATCAAGCACATTAAGGGGAAGTGTAATGCATAAGAACCATAACACCATTTTGACAAATTACAGAGTTATTTCCCTTTGTTCATTTTCCTTGTCAGGTGCATAACTTAAAATTCTATGAAACTTCATTCAATGGTCAAGCGCAAGGAGAGGTAGTGCAGTGCTCAAGAAGCTCTTTTTGGACTTATTACAGAGTAATTCAATAAAACTTCATCAATGGTCAACCACATTGAAAGGAAATGCAACATACAAGAACTATAGTTATCTGTAATTGCCCACAACCATAACTCTATTTCAGTTCGTATGCAAGGTATTCTGTTACTTGTAACTTCCTCATTTCCGAAGCAGTCTTGGGGGGGTATTAATCACATTTAGTGATAGTTCTAGTTTCTTTTATCTTATGTTGGTATGTTTAAACCATGTAATCATTTCAGACTTAATTACAGTCAAACATGTATTAAGCCACTGCTCAACACCCAAAACGTTCGCTTAATGAAACGTCTCGTTAAGACAAAGCATGATAAAAAAAGTCAAAATTTATACATGACATCTTTCATCTTTCATTTGCTGTGGGAATGTTTTTCAACTTAGAACGCTCCGATAATCTAAATGTGTTGATCCATAAAGTACATGTTTGACATTTTTCCAGAATTTTTAAACTTCTCCTTGTCTCCAACAGGAAAAACCTTAATAAGTGAAGATGTTTTCTGTTGTGCTTTTTTCATTTGAAATAAACTACATCTAATTGTAACAATTAATTCAATTGCTGATCAAGTGCAAGGTCAATTCAATGCAGTCTATATATCAACAGAGAAGTGTATACACCATCTCAGTAGGGACAGAGCGTTGCATTAAAGGTATAGAAAGAAAATGATCGGGGGAATTTAAAGTAGTTGCATAAGACAAAAGTCGCTTAATACACGTGGTCGCGTAGGCAAATTAGAATGTAATTATATTTTCCAAATAATATTTATTTCTGTTATTCAAGTGATTCTGAAACAAAATATGTACAACCACTAACCTGTATCAGAATATGTGATGATGGTGATTATTTAAAGGCACTTATTACTTTTTTGAAAAATAAAATGTTTTTCTTCAAGGTGTAGAAGTATCACCTGTGGAAAAAGGAAGGCAAGCAAAACCAAGAAATCAGTCTGATAAATCAATGGATATTAAAATAAGAAATGTGACAGTCAGACAAGGCAATGCCGTAGAAATTGAAGTAACAGCAAAAGAATCAACTGAAGGCAAAAGACATGGAAAAACTACAATAACAGTAAAAGATGTGAATGTGACGTCAGAAGTGAGTTCAAGTGGCCGAAGGACAAGAAATGTAGCAACACCAAACTGGGCGGATATTATAAGTGGAAGGAAAAGTTTTAAGAAAGATGGAGGTGTTCTTGTCCAGGTCAAAAAGGAACCTGTTGATGTTGAGTATGAAAAAGCACTTGATCAGTCAAATGGAAACCAGTCTGGAATTAAAGATTCACCTACAAAGTCAAAGCAAGTGATAGCATCTGAAAGCACAGATGTCTTGGTAAAACAAAACAAAAGTCGAAAGAGGGAGGAGATTGTGGGAAAACACGTTAATATTATTAAGACTATAAAATCACCACAGAGAGAAAACAGTGCTGAAAATGCTAAACATAGTAGAAATATAGTTAAGAACTCTAATAATGAAGAAGATTTATTTGAAATGGAAACTTCATTTGGATCAGTTGATGGTGTTGGTTTAGCACCCCAAAGAGGAATATATTACAAATTTGCATGTACTGAGTGTGATAAGAAATTTTGTGTAGGTTATTTACTGGAGGAACATATGAAAAATATACATTCAAAAAATGTTGATGGTATAGCTACTGGTAATGATGATGATGAGCCTGAAACTGAAGTAAATGACATGTTTGAAGTTGATGGTGATGATGATGATGACTATGCAGATGATGTGGATGATGAGGAATTAGAAGATCATAATATTACAGACGATGATTTCTCACCAGATATCAAAGTACCTAAAATCTCAAGGGAGCCTAAAAGCGATGATATTGCTATACCTAAAGATACTAAAGGCAGAAAAAAGCCAACATGCAATATTTGTGGACAGACATTCCTGACTCCAGCCAATATGAGGAGACATAGTCTCCTCCATACCAACAAAATGTACGAGTGTCCATTTTGTGCAAAACTAATGAAAAGGAAAGATTATGTTAATCAACATGTGAGGAAGGTCCACAAAGGGCATAACCTGGAAGAAAATCCAATTGATTTTGATAAGTTTACCCACATCATTGAACCAGAGGTTGATGAAAGTGGAAACCAAGATGAAACTAAATCACAGTTGGAAGGTCGAGGGGATAAACCAGCACGTAGTAAAGTTCTTGCTGGACTAGGGAAGAAAGTATGTCCTGACTGCAGTAAATTATTTGATGCCCAGGAAGATTTAGAACAGCATATGCTCTCTGTCCATAAAAAAGAGCTAAAGGATGCTGCATATACATGTCAGGGATGTAAGAAACAGTTTAAATCTTTAGTGAGTTACCAGGTACATAAGCTAAGTCATAGGAAAAAAGATTTCATCTGTCAACATTGTGGTAAAAAATTTGCCAATAATTCTCAATTGCAAGTTCATCGAAGACATGACCATCAGTTACAGTACACAACACTTATGTATTTTGGGTATTTAATGAATGAAGGTAAAACTTCATGTGAAATTTGTAGTCAGGATTTTGAGAGTATGGAAGAATTTCACAAACATAGGTTGATACATCTTGTTTTTGATTACTTGTGTGACAAATGCGGAAATGGTTTTAAGGTTAAAGAAGAAGAGAGTTTTCAGAAACACAAAGAATCAGATTGTACTAAAGTTAATTATCATCTACAATGTGGCGTGTGTGAAATGCAGTTTTCGATGTATGACACACGTCGAAAGCATGTGCTAGCTAACCACCCAAAAGAAAATGACTTTTTCTGTCATCATTGTGGAAAAACATTTGATGATATGAAGGATTTGACAGAACATTTTCGTATTCACAAAGAAGAAAAGGTATTTATTTGTGAATTTTGCAATAAAAGATTTTTTGAAAAGAGAAACTTGGTAGACCATAGAGACTTGCATAAAGACACTAAAAGTTGGAAATGCCACATCTGTGACCGTTTGTACATCAGTAGTAAAAGCCTTCAACGTCACATTAAACTTCATCTTAGTAGGTCCGGGAAGAATTGCAAACATTGTGATTCCAAGTTTCGATCAAACGAAGAGTTGGAGGATCACATGTCCACAGTTCATGCTGACCAGGATAATGATAAATACCATTTATGCCATCTTTGCCCTCGTACCTTTCTTGACAAATCACAATTGCTAAAACACATGCAAATTCACGATGGTGACAACACATATACATGTGATATTTGTCAGCAAATTTTCGATGCTAATGTTTTACCTCAGTGGAGACATTTGAAAAAGGCTCATCCAGAGGAAGCAAAGAAAAGAGGAAAAAGACAGTATGTATGTCAGGATTGTCCGTTTGTTACCCAGTTTAAACAGAGATTAGAACGGCATATGGAAACTCATAGGGAAACAAAAGACTTTGAATGTGAGTATTGTCATAGAAAGTATCAAACAACAAGTTCTCTGATGACACATATGATAGTACACAGAGGTAAAGTTAAAAAAGGGGCTAAACCTGAGCCAATATGTACCTGGACAAATTGCAGGAAACAGTATGTAAAACATTCTCTGTATAAAAGACACTTGATATCTCATATCTTTAAGGTGAAGGTAGGAAAAGATTTGTGTGATTGTGGACGGTGTCAGTACAGCGCCCCCCAGCCAGGACAATCTTATTTTGTACAAGATGATTCTGATTATTCTGCTGTTGGTTTTGTTGATGCTGATGGTAATCCTTTAGTCGCAACAAAGTTAGCAAACAGTGGAGAGCAATCACATGTTATCAATGTCCAAGTCTTGCCAGCGGGAGGAACAGAGCAAAGTTACGAGTCCATGGATGTCCTGCAAGAGGCAATAGCACAGATAGAAGACATTGAAAATAAGAATAATTCAAATGGTAAAAAGAATGTAAATGATGAAAATAAGCAAAGTATTGGAGATAAGCCCCTTGGAATAGTTGCTTGTGAAAAGAAGCTTAAAATGGAAGCAGAAAATAAAGACAAGCTAAAAACTGCACAAGGTAGCAAGCCAGAAGAAGTAGAGCAAAGGAAAGATGTGGTACCTAGTTCAGTATCAGATATTGTTGAAGAGAAAGGAAACTTGGGTGTCTTGGATGATGAGAGTATACCTACAACTGAAACTGAGAGTATGGTTGAGGAAGTTATTGTTACTGGAGCTTCTACAGACATAAACCCAGTTGAGCTTCCAAGCTATAGGTTTGAATGTGGAGTATGTGAACTGATGTTCCAGTACAAGTGTCTAGTTCTGTTTCACCTAGAAGAGGATCACCCTGACCACAGATATCCTCACTGTCCTACATGTGGTAAATGCATCATTGATAAGAAGAATCTTACAGATCATATGCGTATTCATGATGAAGTCCGAAGCTTTAGGTGTAATGTATGTAATAAAGGTTTCCGTACTAAACAATGTCTTAGACAGCATTCATTTATCCATGCAATAACAAAACCCTTTACGTGTAATTATTGTGGTCATGGGTTTACCCAGAAAGGATTTTACTTGGAACATATTAGGCGCCACACTGGCATGAAACCCTTTAAATGCTCTGTATGTTCAAAGGCATTTGTGTCAAAGAATCTCTTACGTATTCACATGTTTTCTCATGCCAATTCGCGTCCTCATCAGTGTGAACTTTGTCCGAAATCTTTTAGTGAGAACTATCAGCTCACAGCACACATTCGTACACACAATGATGAACGTCCATTTAAATGTACTGAATGTGACAAAGCATTCTTTGTGAAGCCAAAACTGATTAGACATTTAAACACAGTTCACGGAATAGATAAGGAGGAATTAACAAATTATGTTGCAACACGAGTAGGAGAGGGTGTTGGTTACCGTGACAAAACAAAAGTCAAGAACCAAATGGCGCAGAAAACACAAGTTGTTTATATAGACACACATGGTAATATTGTTAGCCAAGAATTAAAAGAAGAGGAAATGATTGAAGAGCAGAATCAGCCTGCATCATCTAGGCATACACTTAAAATAAGACCAAATGCACCTTTCATTGTCATGAAAAATTCAGGTGAAACAGCTGACACATCTAATTTGGATGAGCACTCATTTGAAGTAGTAACTAAGAGAGATGAACATGGAAGTCTGCAGGTAAATGCTATAATGCAAGGGGATTTAAATGCTACTGAAACAGTGACAGAAGATGGACATGTTACATATCAAAGTACAGGTGGAAACCTGGAGTTAAATGGGGAAAATTACACACTCGTTACACAAGCTGGTCAGGATGAGCACATTGCACTGATAACCCAAACACTAGATGGAGTAGAGGGACAAAATAATACTGTAGAAGGTGACAGTCACATTCAGGTTATAACTCAAGAGGAGGGCACTGAGAATGAATTTGTTGGAGAAGAGAATTTACAAGTTATTACTGAAGAAGATTTAACTGAAGGTGTTGCTGGAGCAGAAAATTTCAGCATTAATATTGGAGAGGATGGGACAGTGGATGCTGCAGATTTTGAAAAGATTGAAGCTCTAAGAAACATGTATAGTGACCAGCAAATTGTTATTGTTTTAGAGAGTCAGCAGCAGTAAAATATTCACAGTGCCTGACAGAGAATTAGTGTTCTAGATGACTAGTATGAATACTAGTGTAGAATAAATAAACTATTCTAGAAAATTAATGAAAAGAATTGCGCTGTTCAATTATCAAATAGCTGTCTTTGATATAGAAAATGAATTACTGGAAATATTTGTACTTTTCAATTTCAAGAATCTGACTGTGTTATAGAAAATGAATTACTGAAAAGTAAAGTATTATACAATTACCATTTAAAGGTATTTGTTCTTGAAAGTCAGCTGCCAAAGAGGAATGTACATTTATTAATTAACTGTCTAACTCTTGCTTAATGATGAACAATTATTGGTATACCGACTTTGCTTTAGAAAGTTGACTGCATTCAAAGTGTACAATATTCAACAAAATAAGTTCCCTGGTGTTTAAGAAAAAAAAGGTATTGTAGACTTTTTTAGTGAACATAATTATTGTTTATTTTGTTTAATTGGGTTTTACGTCCCACCGTCACATTATAGTTCATATGGTGACGTTCCAGCTTTACTGGTGGCGGAAGACCTCTGGTGCCCTTCTGTGCATTATTTCCAGAACCACCGACGTTCCATAAGCTAGCTGGATAGGCTCCCTCACATGAAAGAATCCATAGTCCCTGTCGGAATTCGAACCCTCAGAGGGGTTTGGAGTCAACGACCTTAACAACATGGCCAGGGTCGCCCAAAAAAATAAACAAAATGATAATATTTTAGTTAAATACAAATTTGTGGACTGTATGTGTACAATATGCTTAATTACGTTTATTTATGCGCTTGTAATTGTCGGGCTATTTACTGTGTCCACCTTTGAAGAAAAGGGACATCTTGTTTTGCAGCATGATGTTGGTCGATCCATCCCCACATTGTTTCAAATCAATAACTTAAGTACCCTTAACTTAGGAAGTAGCTGACTCCTATTGATTTTGGGGTCAAAGTCACATTGACTCGACAACCCATGGTCCCTTGGTCCTCAAACTTCGCAAGTGCATTTGTCTTGGCCAGTAAATGACCCAATTTTATTTTGGGATCATAAGTCAAGTTCACACTGACCTTGTGTTTCATTACAGTTTTCAATCAACTGATTACTGGACAACCCATTGACCCTCAAACTTCACCAATACGTTGATGGTCACCTAAGCATAAAGTGCTCGTAATCAAAATGTGTCCGTCGTTCGTCAGTATGTCCGTGTGTCCTTCGTCAACTTTTTAGACTGGGCCTTTGATGAAATTTTCCTGGGATGGTCCTAGCATGAAGCACTACTTAAATTGTTCAAATGGTTTTGCTGAATTGAACATCTGGGTCAGGATCAAGGGCTGAAATGAAATCTTTAAAAATCTTCTCTGACAGTGGGCTTCGGTTTTTCAGGTCTCTCGCACATCCACTTCCTGTTTACCGACTTAGATTTTCGACATTAATGGTTAATGGTAGGAAATTTTTGTAGCAGTTACTACTTATCACAGCCTCTTGATATTTGGTATACAGCATTAACATGTGGTCCCATACCTTGGGATGTGATTTCATGTCTGTTGCGCATCCACTTTCCGTTACCCGATTTAGTTAAATCGTCGACATTAATGGTCAGTGGTAAATTTTTTTTTCGTCACATCACAGCCTCGTGATTTTGGTATACAAATGCAAGCCGGCATTTTTTTCTGTCTGACCCATTTTCATTATGTTCATAAAGTATAAACTTAAAAACTCTTTTTCTCTGAACATGCAAGGCTTAGAGCTGGGATATTTGGTATGTAGCATCATCATATGAAAATCTACATGTAAGTGTTCAAATTACATCCCTGGGTAAAAATTGGCCTTGCCACAAGGGGTCATTGGTTTTCCTTATATGTATGTAGTAAAAACTTGAAAAATCATCATCTCCTGAATTGACAAAGGCTATAGGTAAGATTATTGACATGAAACATTGTGTTATTGGGTCAATAATTGATTTTCATTTTATTTATATTAGGTCTGCGAACGAATAAGGAATTTGATGTGCGAATATTCGTTTTTCATATTCGAATATTCGTTTTTTTACAACATTTGTTCCAATATTTCTTCTTGTCGTATACGTATCCGAAATTGATTGCGTCGGATACTATACTACTTTAATATGCTTGTAATAATCGACGATTCAACCACTAACAAAGTTCTATGCTCCTGCGTTTATGAATAAATTATGCAAATGAGCCGCCATGTTGGAGTTTCGGTAAGCGTGTTGGAAATTGCTACCTGTTCGTTTTGAAAGCTCGTCCTAACTTACAATTTCCTTGAATGTATGAAAACTTGGTTTTGTTTGATTGCATATTGAATGATAGGTATTGCAAAATAAATATAATGAAAATCGATCAATAAATAATTGTATACGAGCGTTATAAAGTCAATTTAATTCGTCAGAATAATAAGGTTCTGTTGCAGGGTATCGGTAAAAGACTGCTTTTTTTCCCGTTTTTGAAATTTATTTGAACACGGAGACAATTTTTCTCAAACAGATTTATGAATATACTTTACGTTGCAACAGAGTTTACCGTGTGTCCATTCCTTATTTAAATTGTCTGAGAAGTTAAATCTGTTTGTTTACATGTAAATGTGTACCGTCATTTTGACCGAGTGGAATAAAAACTACCATGACGGTGATAATACCGGATATGTAATGAAAATTACGCCGTGTAGTGCAAAGTTTTGGACATTGCAATTAAAATTAACACTTACGTTGACTCAAACTGTTCCTTGTCAGCAAAATTGAAACCGAAAGTAGAGGTTGTTCTAGAATTTAATCGAATAAAATGGGTGGAATTTAACCACCGCGCATGCCCTGTGCGAACGTATTGTTTACATCCGGTCGTAGCATAGGGTAAGAGTGCAAACTTTGTTAGTGTCAACTACCACAGGTTCTACATTACAGGTTCTACATTTGTTTGCTTTTTGTTTTGAAAATTATAAATATTCATTTTTTTGTTGGTGTTTCTACTATGTAAAAACATTTGGATTGAACTTATAAATAGAAGTTGCGTCTTACTATTTGACATGTGTTAGAATGTAAATAAATTAAAGTTTTTTGTGTAAATGCAAAAAAAATCATTGCCTTTCTGTAAAAAAATGAATTTGCCTTGTTGACTTTAGTGTTACGACTTGATATGTTGTAGTAGCTTCCTAAGGCTTTGTATTTTGCTATGAGTAGTGTTGGAAAATTGATATCAATTTTTGCACGATGCCTAGCAGCAAAATAAATTGCTCCAGAAAGCTATTACAACATAATTTTCCTTCTAGTATATACCTATAAATTTTTAGACAAAAAGAGATTCAGTTAACTAAACTTCTTTTACTTATTTCACAAACAAAGATATAGCTGTCAAGAAATAATATTAATAAATGACAGATGAATATTTTTTTACAAATTTAAGAGACCACCCTAAGTATCACCAGTTTTTGTATAAGGCACAGCTAAAATTGGAACCAATGGAGAACAATAGTTTAGCACTTCCATATATGGTACTGTTTTTACTGTCTTGGTCACTAACATAACTCAGATTTTTCTATCCTTGGAACCAATTGTATTGGCGCTTCATGATTTGCGTGTATTTTTATGGAGAAAATTTATAGGTATATAATATACATCTGTATATGAATGCAATATAAAATTCAAATTAACATTTTTTCTGCTAATGAATGTATGTAGTTTTTGCCCAGTCTGCCTCTGTGACTATCTGTAACCATGACTGTATGTTAAAGCCACAACATGCCTCTAGTTCAGAGCTTTATTTTGAAAAATGACATTGATTAAATGTTATATATACTGTAATTTAACAGATCATACATGGTTAGAAACAATTTGTTTTACAAACACATCTGGTGTTAGATGGTTTAAACCACCATTTAGTGAGTAAAATGTTAATTCTATTAAAATGTGGATCATATTACTGTCCTTGGCTGTTAAAAAGGGTAGTGATATACAAGTTATAATAGAGATATTGTGTTGATCTTTCGTTTTTACTTGAAGGAACAAAATTCAATCTCTTTTGGCTGTTAGTTGTCTGTGTAATGTGTTTTTCTTAAAGATTTTAACAAAGAATCATGTATATCACAATTTGTTATGCCACCGCAACATCTGTGATGCGGTGGCATTTGGCGATTCACATCTGTGTGTGTGCATGCGCGTGTGTTATTCCTCTTGTGAAAAACCACTAGTCCAATTTCAACCAAACTTGGCAGGATTGTTCCTTGGTGAAGGGCTTCCAAAGTTGTTCAAAGAATTTGATTCCATGCAGAAATCTTGTTGCCATGGCAACCAACAGGAATTATATGAACAAATTTTAAAAATCTTTTTGTAAAGACACACAATGACTATGGCATAGATATTTTGCATAAAGCATTATCTGTTAGACCTCTACCAAGATTGTTCAAATTATAGCCCTGGGATCAAAATAAGCCTCGCCCCGGGGGTCATTGATTTTAACTATGTACATCTAGCAAAAACTTGAAAAATATTCTTGTCTGAAGGTACAATGCTTAGAGCTTGGGTATGTGGTATCATCTTTAGGTCCTCTACCAAAGTTGTTTTGCTGTATACAGTAAAAACTTAAAAAAACGATCTTCTTTAAAAAAAAAACAAATAGCTAGATATTAAGTATGAAACATCTTCTAGTTAGTGTCTACCAAGCTTGTTCAAATAAAAGCCCTGGAGTCAAAATTGGCCCCATCTTGGGGGGGTTCATTGATTTTCCTTATATGTATGTAGTTAAAACTTTAAAAATCTTCTTTTAAAAAAAACCGAAACAGCTAATACGTAGATATTAAGCATGAAACATCTTCTAATAGGTGTCTATCAAATTTGTAAATAAAAGCCCTGGGGTCAAAATTGGCCCCTCCCAGGGGGTCATTAATTTTCTTTCGACCGTAAAACCTGAACGGGCGGTCACACCTGCACAACAGCCGATTTGTAAACAGCGGCCAGCTTAAGACTGTCGGTGTAGTTTCCTTTTTTAAATGCATTCTATATAACACTAATCTGTAATATATGCAGCCAACTGTCATCCTAACAGATTTTGGCACGTATAAAACGGCGCAACAAACTTTCAAATAGGTAAACACACGAGAGTGCGAAGAAAAAACTTATAATTGCCCTTACGGGACCTAATACACAACTGCACCTGTGTATTTGTCAAGATAAGAATAAACCGGCGAAAAGTAATTTACGGATGATTTGGTAAAGATAAGAATAAACCGGCGAAAAGTAATTTACGGATAGTGTTTTCTATTGTTTTCTGTGGGTTTTTTTTGTGTGTGAAAATAATGATAAAGGATTAATGCGGTCGGTGCTTTTATTATGAGCAAACACTCTGATTTAATTTATTTGGTGTAAATTGAACATTGTGATAGTTGAATGCATTCATTGTTCGATAAATCGTATGTCAAATTGTAAAGATGATGTCTTTAAAACCAGCGGAGCAATTTTTTTATTCTCTTTGGCAATCATGTTACAGTACCGTGAACATCTCTCTTGAGGATCAAGTTAGAGTCATTCATACTATAGATACAAAAAAAACACCCTAAACTACTATTTAATACATAGGCACTTGGTTTTGGGATAAAAAGCCCTTTGAGGGGTTTGTAGAACTCAAATTTGATTGAATGTAACGATTTTTTAGATTCTAAAAACGTCATTTTTCCAATGTGACAAAAAACTAACATCGGAAAAATGACGTTATTAGAAGCAATACATCTATGTAAAAAATTGTTACATTCAATCAAATTTGAGTTCTACAAACCTTTCAAAATGATTTAGCATTGTATTAATGTGGTGGCACTGCATTTTTCACAAATGCAATCTTGTTTTTCTTTAGTTTTTTCTTTGATACTATAAATGGTATATGTTTTTTGAAAATTGTTATATTTTTCACTTTTCTTCTTTGTTACTATAAATTTTTGATTAAATGATCTCTACTTTGAACTTCAGATAATTGTTCTTTGTCACCACTCACATCATCTAGAGTAATCTACTCTTTAGTTAATTTTAAAAATGTTATATTCTGGTTACAGCCAGAGATTTTTAAAGATTTGCCCTCTGTTTTTCAGTGCATCTGTCTGGCTGTCCCTAAAAACTGTTTCCTGAGATTACTTTTAAAGAACATTTTTAGCAAATTTACTTAAAATAGAGAAAAGTTGAAACGTCAGTTTGAGAAAATTGGATCTTTTGATTATCTGTTGTATAAACATAATTTCATTATTAAGCATGGAATCTAAACACATAACTATAATACAGATAAACTAAGAACTCAAAAGAGTCTAGTTTGTCATGTTGGCATTCAATTATGCCAACAGCCATTCAGAATGTTGCTTGGGTTCTAAGCGGTAGAGACTTTTAAATTGCTTATTAAATAAATTGTTTGCATGTTCATCTTATATCATCATTTTTGTGTTACATAATTGTGAATTTAATAACTAGTTTTCGTAATTGTTTAAGCATTTGCAAATATAAATAAATGAAGAAAAATGTTGATTTTTCTTTTTTTGCTTGACCTTGTTATATAATGAATCGTCCAATGACAGTTCGTCTAACGACTTGCACCACTTCTGTAATAATTTGCCCCATTTTATTAGTCCCCTACCTATTTAACTGGAGGAGACTTAAAGTTTACAAAGTCTGTCCTCAAAACTGGCTTCCATCTAACGCAAAAAATACTGATTTTTTTTTTTTATGAAACTTAATGTAATTATGGGTAGTTAGCAGTCTGGAGCTATGTGCTTCATTCCGTCCTGCTAATTGTTGTAATCCCATGGTAATTTTACTGGTTTATGTGGAAAAGTGCCACATAAAGATAAAAAAGTACATAAACCCCAAATAATGGTGACAGTCCATCCACAAAACTAGATCCAGTGATAACGCGAAAAGTACTGATTTTTTTTTTATGAAACTCGATAATTATATGGATAGATGGCAGTTTGGAGATAATGCATTCATTTTCTTTTCTTCCTATGTTGAAAACTTTGACTGCTATGGCAATAACTAGACTGAAAATAAACTGGAGACAGTGATAACACAAATAGTGCTGAAAATATTTTTGTGAAATTTTATATAGGGAAGATGGCAGTCTGGAGATTATGCATGTCTTTATCTTTTCTTCCAATATTGAAAACTTTGGTTGCCATGGCATCAAGTAGGCTTAGTAAATGGCAAATATAACAATATTTGTGATTACTCAAAAAGTACTGAAGACATTTTTATGAAAGTAAAAAGCAGTATGGAGACTACACAATTCATTTTCATCTTGACTATAGGGAGTACATTGTATATTAAGAGCTGTCCTACTCATGGAACATTGGCAACTTTGTCAAAATTTCTTATTAAAGTTTTTACGCTTTTTCACAAAGGTATTTACTTCAAATAAATATATGTTTCTGGTCATATCAAGGTTTACAACACTAGCACACTAATTATCAGATTATTACCTCCCTTGAACTTCGAATTTTCATGAAAAAATGTTTTTTTTTCTCCATAATTTCTATCATTCTTAATGTATCTAATTAAACATCATACAATATGCTTTTTACTATCACTCAATCATTTGTGAGAAGGTTTAATACTCTAGCTTGACTATTTCCTGAATTATGTCCCTTTGAACTTAGTTTTTTTCCCTAGAAATTAGTATTTTTTACTCAAACTTCTTCATCCCTTATAGGATTTACTTCAAACTCCCACATCATAATCATATGGCAAGGTTTATCAATCTAGCATCCATTTTTAGAATTATCTCCGCAAACTTTGAATTTTCCTATCATTCATTTCCTTTCTTATATCTTCTTGGATTTACATGTACTTTTAATTCAAACTATACATTTATTAACAACACCTACATCATATGTGATTAGATTTTCCATGAGTATTTTCATTTTGAACTTGAAATTTATTTGAATCTAATTTTTTTATTTTCTACTTTAATTGTTACTATAAATGATTCACAATTGTTCTTTGTTACACTCACATCATGTATTACAATGTATCTTTATTATCCCCCGCCGATGGAATCGGGAGGGGGATATAGTTTTGGCGTTGTCCGTCCGTCCGTCCATCCGTCCGTCCGAATTTCGTTTCCGGAGTAGTTCTCTGCAACTAATGGCTGGAATTCAAAGAAACTTTATGGGAATGTTGATCAGCATGTGAAGTTGTGCACCTGGGTATTTTCGTCTGGATATTTTTAGTATTTTTAGAGTTATTGCCCTTGACTCAGTAAAATTTTTTCCAAATTTCGTTTCCAGAGTAGTTCTCTGCAACTAATGGCTGGAATTCAACGAAACTTTATGGGAATGTTGATCAGCATGTGAAGTTGTGCACCTGGGTATTTTCGTCTGGATATTTTTAGTATTTTTAGAGTTATTGCCCTTGACTTAGTAAAATTTTGTAATTTTCAACTTGTGTCGCATGTAACTCAAAAAGTATTTGACTTGAGTCATGAAACTTTACAGGAATGTTGATCAGTATGTGTAGTTGTGCACCTGGGTATTTTCGTCCGGATATTTTTAGTATTTTTAGAGTTATTGCCCTTGACTTAGTAAAATTTTGCAATTTTCAACTTGTGTCGCATGTAACTCAAAAAGTATTTGACCTAGAGTCATGATACTTTACAGGAACGTTGATCAGCATGTGTAGTTGTGCACCTGGGTATTTTCGTCTGGATTTATTTAGTATTTTTAGAGTTATTGCCCTTGACTTAGAAAATGTTTGCAATTTTCAACATGTGTCGCATGTAACTCAAAAAGGATTTGACATAGAGTCATTAAACCTTATTGGAAAGTTGCTCAGCATATTTAGTTTGTTCCTGGGGTTTCGCTTGTGGATTTATCCAGTATTTGTAGAGTTATTTCCCTTGACTTAGTAAAAACTGTTTCATTATGTTGTTATTTGATCCTTGAGTGCTTGAGTTAGAATCGACCAACTTTACAGGAATAATGATCAACATCACTAAATTACAGGAATAATGATTCACCTCACTGTGAAGCTATGAACCTGGGACTTTGCATGTGGATTTTTTTCAGTTTTGTTAGAGTTATTGCCCTTGAATTACAGTAGTATAAATTTGAAATTTTCAACATGGGGTTTGCTTGGGGATTTATTCAGTATTTGTAAAGTTCTTGCCCTTTACTTAGTAAAAAGATTTTTAGTTTTCAAAAAATATTTGACCTAGAGTCATAGGATTGACAGAACAGTGGCGCGGTGGGGGCACCCGTGTCCTATGGACACATTTCTAGTTTTTATTAAAGAAGAATTAAAATGATTTGTTACAATAACATTTAAAAATATTTGAAAATTGTGAGATCCCTTCTTGATGCCTTGAAAATGGCAATGAAGTCTGGAGATTAAGATGTTTTTACATCTAGGTGAGCTATTGTGATCCCCCACCGTCTGTCGTCGTGCGTCGTCAGCAATTTCTTTAAACAACATCTTCTCAGAAACAAATGACTGCACAGCAACCAAACTTTACAGGAATGATCCTAGGGTGGTCCCCTGCCAAAGTTGATCAAATGGTTCCGGTCTGTTGCATAAATAGGTCACAGGGCCAGAAAAGGAGTTTCAAAAATGCAAAATTAAAAAATCTTGTCTGAAAGTACAAGGCCTAGAGCTTTGATATTTGGTATATGATATAACCTATAGGTCCTCTACCAAAATTGTTCAAATTTTAGCCCTGGGGTCAAAATTGGCCCCACTCCAGGGGGTCATACATTTTCCTTATATGTATATAGTGAAAACTTAAAAATTCTTCTTGTTTGAAGGTACAAGGCTTCAAGTTCAAAGAATATTACAGTTTATGCCATGATTAATATATAAATAAAGCCTTATGTCTTCAGTTGTTGTGTTAATAATAACCAGTACTCGGCGGGGGATATAAATTCAACGAATTTGCTTGTTTCAAGAGTTATCTCCTCTTTAAGAATTTTGCTTTTAAAAATTTTAGAAAAAGTAAAAAGTCGAGCGTTGCCCCCGCCCGGCGGTTGACTTCAAACCACTTGTCCCTCACCGCTGTGGGTTCGAATCCCGACAGGGACTTTGGATTCTTGTATGTGAGGAAGCTATCCAGCTAGCTTACGGGACATCGGTGGTTCTACTCAGGTGCCCGTTCGTGCCTGAAATAATACACGGTATATACATGTTTTTTTTCGCGTTTAATAAGGACATTATTAGGAATGTCCTTTTCGAGTCAGGGGTCTTGGGTCAAAGTCAAGGTTACCAATGTCAAAAAAAAAAAAAGAATTTTTTAAAGTTTTACAGGTGTTATCTTATTCTATGGACTGATGTCTTTAATATTTGGTAGGAACATAAAATTGAGAAATCTCCCTTTGGATGGAGTTACGGGTCATTTGGGTCAATGTCAGTACTAAAAATAAATTTTTCACTTTTGCCAATACAGCCTTATGCACAGATGTCTTTCATTTGGTAGGAAAATATCTTGCATCAGGTCTTCTTCCTTTGGATTTAGTTAGGGGTCATTAGGTCAAGGTCAGTGGTGCCAAAAATGGATTGCTACCGATTTATGATACAGCCTTTATTTACAGACTGATGGTTTCATATTTGGAAAAAACATACCTTAGATGGGAGTCACAAGGTCACTTATGCTAACAGTAGGTCTTAAACACTTTTAGCTCACCTGTCACACAGCTTTTGTGATCGTTTTTCATCCTGCATCTGTCCGGCGTCCATCTTTAAACTTTTACTTCAAACGGCATCTCCTCATAAACCGCTCCAAACTTTACAGAAATGTTCCTTGGGTGGTTATCTTTGAAATCTGTTCAAAGAATTGAATTCCTTGCAGAATTCTGATTGTCATGGCAACAGAAAGAAAGAAAAAACCCTAAAAGATATTCTTTTTAAAAAGCTAGAGCTTAGATATGTACCATGACACATCTAATAATTGTCTACCAAGTTTGTTGAAATAAAATCCCTGGGGTCAAAATTGCCTGCGCCCGATGGAGGTCATTGATTTGCCTTATATGTATGTAGTAAAACAAAGAAATCTTCTTTTAAAAAGCCCAAAAAGCTAAAGCTTAGATATGTAGTATGAAACATCTAGTGGGTGTCTACCAAGTTTGTTCAAATAAAAGCCCTAGGGTAAAAATTGGCCCTGCCCCAGGAGGTCATTAATTATCCTTGTATATGTAATCAAAACTCTTCTGTTAAAAACCCAAAGAGCTAAAGCTTAGATATTTAATACAAGACGGCCCAGTAGGGCCTTGGATCGCTCACCTGAGAAATAGGTTAAACGGTCACCCTAGAAGAAATAGCGAAAATTAAAACATTGTGAAAAACACCGGATTTTCAGTACATATAAGAACAAGAGCCACCGCCGGGCGGGGGCAACGCTCGACTTTTTACTTTTTCTAAACGCAAACATAGAAAGGTTTGAACATATCTTAATGTTTCCTTTTTATAAATTTAGTTGGTCTGTCTTGTCACATAAGTTTTGTTTATATATTTTGTATATATATATGAATAGAAACATTAAGC